TTTCAACAACTCCTGCCTCTTAGTATGTATGAATGTAAGTATGTATGTATTATTTATCCTCAAAAAGGAAAGATCCAAGAAGCTAGCCAGAAACAAAAGGAAAAAAGTGCAACATACATGTTTAAAAACGAATATTTTCAGGCTGTTAATGATTTTTAAATTATCAAATTAATTTTGTTGTACTTTTATTTACTTATTCTCCATCACCATTTATCCTCCCTATACCCTCTTCCACTTCTTCCCACCTCACAACTGCCACACTGTTATTCATGTCCATGAGTTCTCTCTCTTTTTATTTTGCTATACTTTTAAAAACTTTTAAAACTTTATAGAAATATTTCTACTCAATTTATGTGGGACACAGCCAAATTGCAGGGGTTATTGACTTCATGTAGCCCAATTCATTTTTATTATAGATGGTAAAACTGAAAATCATCGAGGGGAAATAGAATGTCAACATTTAAGATTTATAAATTTCCTTTTGGGAATGGTAGTCTTGGATCTATAGATACAATTCAAAAGGAAGTTTGGAAGTGAGTATGTTAGGTAACTGGTTGAGGGAGATAAAAAACTTATTGACAACTACAATTAAGATATTGTAAACTGATTGATGTGCCTAGTTTGATAATAAACACTATTTTGTATGAAGATAATTATAGATACTTTTTCTTTGAGAAAATTATTTTGAAGCCTATATTTTAAAGAAGAAATTGGATCCCACAATGAAGAATTTCTCATAATTTATTTAGTAAGTACTCTAAGTTAAAATTCTCCAGAAAAACAAAACCAATAGGATATATGTGTATAGATAGATAGGTAGATAGATAGATAGATAGATAGATAGATAGATAGGTAGGTAGATAGATAGGTGGACATTTAGATAGCTAGAGGGATTAGCTCATATAATTATGGAGGCTGAGAAGTTCCAAGTTCTGTAGTTGACATGCTAAAGACCCCGGAGAGGCGAGATGTAGTGCCAGATCCAGTCCGAAGGCCTGAGAATAATGAGATGTTTTATTTTAAGTCAGAAGGCTGGAAAATACCAATGTCCTACTTCCAGATGGGCAGAAGCAAGTTCTCTCTTTTTTTAGACTTTTTGTTCTAATGACATTTTTGTCAATGACAGACCATCAATGATAGTGGTCCCATAAGATTACAGTGGAGCTGAAAAATTCCTATCACCTAGTGATGTTATAAGGTCATAGTATAACATGTTATGTATTTGGTAATGCTGGGGAAATAAACCTGTGGTTCCAGATGTACAAAAGCATAGTGCATACAATTACAAAGTACAAAACACTTGATGTTGATAATAAATGACTATGTTACTTGTTTATGTGTTTACTGTCATTATTTTAAAGCGTACTCTTTCTACTTATTTTTTAAAAAAGAAGCTTTGCTGTCCAACCAGTGTTGTTCAGTGGTTAGGTATCAACCTATGAACCTGTGTAGGGCATGGTTTGATTCCCTGTCAGGGCACAAGCCTGGGTTGCAGTCTCGATTCCCAGTAGGGAGGCAGCTGATCAATGATTCTCTCTTATCAGTGATGTTTCCATCTACCTCTCCCTCTCCCTTCCTCTCTGAAATCAATAAAAAAATATTTTTTAAAAAAAGTTTTGCTGTCAAATGGCAAGTCATATTAACCAGCTAGCAGCCTCATACATCTTGTGTTAACTGAATCTCTTGGTTGCACCATTTTCTCTTGTGGTGATTTAATCTTGTGTTGTTTTGTGCAGTAATATACTATACAGTACAGTACAGTAATATATTATACAGATAAAATAATGACTTGTGGCCAGGGAGCAATAGGCTATATTCCCTGTCAGGGCATATAGCCTAGGTGTGTACTGGGCTATACTATCTAGGTTTGTGTAAGTGCACTCTATATTTGCACAAAAACAAAATTTCCTAGCAATACATTTTTTAGAATATGTCTCTGCCATTAAGTAGTACATGACTGTATTCCACTGAGTGGTTGAGGCCCAGCCACATTAGGGAGGTCAATATGTTTTATTCATTTTACTGATTCAAATATTATCCTCATCCAGAAATATCCTCAAAAATAACACCCAGGATAATGTTTGACCAGATGTCTGGTTGACCAAAGTAACCATCACAAGCACACAAAGACATAAAGATAAAACTGAAATTACTGGAGCTTAAGTATAGAAAAATAAGAGAGATAAACAAGAAACATAATGAGAATGAAGGCATATAGGGGAATATGTCAGTCACGCATTTAAGACCACATTGAAGTTAGATTGATCTTAAAGTATTTCTGTACACTATCATTTCTTGTATATTTTATAATTAACTAAATGTATAATTTTATTACAATAAAAAGTATAAATGTACTATTTCATATTATTTTAATTACTGATTTGCTACAGTGAATAAGAAAGTATAACTTCTATTTATTTTCAAGGATTAAGAAATTGAAGGATATTTTTTAGAATACAGAATCAACCTTTTGTTTTAAGCACTTGAAGATATTAAGAGGGTTGTTTTTTTGTGTTTTTGTGGGGATTTTTTTTTGTGTGTGTTTTTTTTTGGGGGGAGGGGGGTGTTGTTTCTGGTTTTGGTATTTCCAAAGCTGCTCACCCATGTTTTAAGCTTGTGTTGTTGAAAAGGAATTTCTTTATTCTTTCTGGTAGATATAGAGAAATATTTCTAGAAGTAAGCTAGTGGGTAATACACACTTTAGTGTGATCACTGTAATTAGATAATTAAATTGCTCTCCTCACAGTAAAAAAGAAGAGGTCAGGGTTTGGGAGAGGTGAATTTGAAACAAGGGTCACATGAGGGCCAGATGGGCTTGGTGAGTAACACAATGGTAGCTTTCAGTCCAGAGGATTCACTTCACAGGAGTCCATGGCATATTAGTGAGAACTAGTGGTACTAGTGCTAATAAGGATTCTACCTTAGGTGAGGAAAGTTAGAAAATGGGGTGGATGAAAACTCAAGGTAAAGATTTCCTGATAATTAACCAAGACACAAATTCCTGATCTCTATAATAGTTGTGTACTGGTTTTGAAAAGATGTTTTAAAATGTCTACCTCGCCCAGCATTATGCTCAGTGGTTGAGCCAGGAGGTCACAGTTTGATTCCTAGTCAGGGCACATGCCTGGGTTGTGGGCTCCATCCCCAGTGAGGGGCGTGCAGGAGGCAGCTGATCAATGATTCACTCTCATCAATTATATTTTTATCTCTATCTCCCTCTCCCCCTTTGAAATCAATACAAATATATTTTAAAAATTAAAAAATAAAATTTCTAACTCTTCATCTTTATTTCCTCATCTTTCCCACTTAATGTTGGTAAATGAACATTTTTGAGATCTGTTATAAATACAGATCATATAGATGCAGTGTGGATAAATAACTGACTAATGGGAAAGCTGTTTAGGGATATCTACTTATCCTGACCCTTTCTTAGCATAGTAAAGTTACTGATATTTGTGTAGTATTACTTGACAGCGCTGCCTCCTGTTCTCTGTATGTGTACAGATGAATGGACATTGAGGTCATATTCTTCTTCACACTGATTGCATGTATTTTAGACTCTGATAGAAATGTTTTTATTTGGAAAATACACACATGTGTATACATATTTCCCTGGTACTCTCCCAGTTTTTAGAAAAAATGTTTAAATTTTCCTGCTGAAAACATTTAGATCTTTCTGAATAAATACATCATCTTTTTAAAAAACCTTCCCCCAAGATTTCTTTTTAAATGGTTCACAGTTAAATTTAAATTTCTATATTTAGGTAGAATTATGTTTATATACCAACCACCAGTATCCAGGAAGTTCAGTGGGAAGGCTGACACATAGGGAGTTTGTAGTCTATTTTGTAGTCTGTGTATTTAGACAAGGTTTGAAGCTTACTTAGCAAAATCGCTTAAACATTCAAGCAGAATTTCTTTAGTACAAATGCTCTATTTGACTTCTTATAATTGTTAAGATAATAGTGTGTCACTATATAAAGATTAGTTCTCAGTAATATCTGTTAGATTTAGACCTTTCAAAGAACGGTGCATTCAGAAACACCTTTTATATGTAAATATTTTTGTAATATTGGATAGAGTTGGTTTGGTGCAATCACTATAGTGTGATCAAGTTTGAAAGAAGTTACAGGCACATTTTTGTAGAGTTTTCTGCAGCATCTTTATTTTTTTCAGCTGGATGTATTTTATGTTCCTTTAACTAACCAAAATAAGAAAGTGATTGCCTGTGCCAAAAAATAGGACTATCATTTTTCACATTCTTTTCTTTTCCAGGGGCATTTTCAAGTAAGATTATGTTTCTAGGACTTCTGAATTCCAGAAAACTCCCGACTTTGTAGATATAAGGGCCCCGATGAACATTTCATGGGGACTCTAACTTTTCATGCAGTATGTTTTGTGTTGTGCATTCCAGATACAGTTAACTTTTTGTGTGCATGTGATTAGTGTGGAAAGAAATTAATGCAGTCCCGTATTATGATTTATGGACTGAATCCTTTGCCCACTGAAGACTTGCCAAAACTAAAACTATTTTTTTTCCTTTGGATATTAGAAACAGCTACTGTTTTTGTTGATCTTTTAAAGGTCTGAATGGGCCTATTTCAAATCATACCAGCATGGGAGTTCAGATTAATAATATACTTATTCAACTAGTGATACTGAGTGAAACCATTGCTCACATGGATATGAGGATACAATTTCATAAAATTATTTTCAGGTGTATTAATGCATTTCTGGAAGCTGCACATGATTTTTCTTTTGCATGAAAGAAATCAAGGATTTCTGTTTATTGTATCAGTTATAGGTGGGCTTATAAGTTAATTTAATTGCATTTTTTATACCTTAAAACGTAAGACATTTTACTTTTAAAAACAGTAATGTGATGGCTGAATTGTTCCCCAAAATGTTTAATTTAATGTGTTTTTTTCTTTCCTGAGACATCATGACTGCCATGTACTTAATTTATATTGAGAAAAATTCCTAAATTTTGTTGTTGTCAGTTACACCAAGCTGCTGAAGTCTCTCAGCTCCGGGGAGCAAGGGTAATATCTCCTGAAGATCTTCTGTTTTTGATGCGCAAAGATAAGGTAATCTAAAATGTTCTGCTGAATTAAACTGCAATGTTTGGTGCTTAACTATACTTATATGAGGAAACTACCGGTAAATACCCTTTTTACATAGCTTTCAAATTGGTATCATAACTATTGAATTGGTATTTTAGTCTTCATAGTTTACATGACAGAATGGTACTATAAAACTTATTTATTTTTTAATATGGGCAAAGGCATATATGTAAAACTATGCTGACAACTAATTCTCACTTATCTGTACATACCTATTTTGACATGTTCATTGCTACATAATAGTCATTAAATATTTACTGTTCTGATAAGTAAGTGGCATATTTACTTTTCTTCTAATTTTATACAGTATTACAGGCTGACAGAGAGTAATTTTCTACCTTAAAATACAAAGTTTATTCTTTGACACTAGTTTATAAGAAATAGAAAATCAATCCAGATGTATATTCCATTAGCATGAATATATACCATAATGTCTAGGGTTTTTTATACTTAAATATCTACTTTTATTATTCTTGAACACTGTTATAAAAATATCTGAACTGGTATTTACATGTCTAATTTGTCATAACTCTCTTCCATGAGTAGCTAGTTGAAAATATTTTATAAAATTTAAAGGTTTTAATATGTTTCATGAAAAAGTTACGTGTAAAACTATAATCACAGTTTGTTGTGTCAGATGTCATTGTAAATGAGCAAAAATGCCTTGTTACTAATGTCAGTCCCATATTTCATTTCTCCACTGATTTTTTCTTGCCTTTTATTGTACTCACCCATTCCTCTGCCACCATTTTTGTATGCTTGTGGCTCTGTTTTTTATCAAAAGGCTTCCCATTTGACCTTTTGGATAAACTTTTGGCTCATTACCTCTTAGCTAGTCTGAGGAATATAAAGGAAAATAAAAGAAATATCTTCACTTTCAAGAAAGTATAGTTTAGTTTAGAAAACCAATATGATTTAATTGAAAGAAGCACTTTAAGACTCACACAATTTTAAGATTATATGATTAGATGTAGAAGATGGAGAATTTTTTTTGCAGTGGAGTTGTCTGCCTGTGGTAAAACAATTATATCTAGAATGAATCAAACACAGAAGAACTCACCAGGATTCTGGTTGAGTAGTCTAGACAAAATCTGATTACTGTGTTGGCTCTGGAACTGGATAGGAAGGAAGAATTCAAAGAGATCGTGATTAATCAAAATAGGCAGGATTTGGTGACCATTAAACTTGGAGGACTAAGGAAAAATAGGCTTACATAGCAGTGGTCCTGGGAGAAAGGAGCCGAAAGGTGCTGTTGGCAGAAATGAGGGCCCAGAGCCAGGATTCCCTATGAAGGCATCTAGGAAGAGGGAGTTAGCAGAATGTATCTAGTCAAGTTTTCCTTTTCACTGACGGAGGTGAAGAGGCCAGCACACACACACAAAGTCCACATTGGCACATTTTCCTGCCTTTGGGGAAAGTAAAATTTAAAATCCTATTGAAACTTCAGGATCGTACACTAATTGACAATGCCCTTTACTGCCCAATGGGACTAATAACCAGAATCATTTTAGCACTTGAGAACATAGCTATAATGTTATAGTTGCCATTGTTCTTTCTCCTTAAAATAATACTTTTATTTATATGATGATATTTTCTGAACAGAATTTAAAGTAGTTTTCAGGAATGATATAAGACAAAATGCAATTTAAAGTACTGAACAAAATCAGCAAAGAGAAAAGGATAGTGAAAGACCTGTTTTTTTTCTTTTCATGATTTCAGTTTATTTAAAGCAGTATTTATTGACTGTCTATGTTTTACGTATTATACTAGGCAGTTTATTTATTCCTCACAATAATCCTGTAACATAGGTACTTTACTTACTTTGTAAATAAAGAAACTAAGGTTCAAAGGTTATTTTTCCTAAGTATAAAAAGGAGATGATTATAGTTGTCTATATCTCAGGGCTATGAAAATATCAAATAAAATGCATGTAAAAGAGCTTTGTAAAATGCAATAGTTTTCAGCTGTTACAGTATCTTAATCTTAAAGGTTAAGAACCAGTAATAATACATTCCAAGTGTAAGCACACAATAAATTGCAAAGTATTTGTAAGTTACTTTTAGAGCTAAGTAGTATCATGGTTTTCTAATAAACCTAAGGAAAGCCATTATTAAGACCCAACTATCATTAATCAACTTTGAGTTTCATAAAAATATGTTTCTCATATTACTGAATGTTTTCCAGAAATATAAACCAGCTCTTCTAAATAAAATAAAACTCTCAGAGAATAAAAAACAATACAAGGAGAGTACATGCTTTTTTAAAGCAGTTGTTACAAAATCCTTGTTTGGACTGTTTATAAATTGTTTAAAAAAATAAAATAGCTTTGTATGGAGAGTGTGATATTTCTCACAGTCTTCAGAAAGAAGTTAAGGCTCTTTATACAACCAAAATATAAAGGTAATTATTATAATTCTGGAGCATCTGGATACTTGTAAATAAAAAGTGCTTTTAAAAATACTTGTGTTTCAACTTTCATGTTTAATTTATGACTATTTTTTTTTATTATTACATGTACATAGTATTATGCTGCAAATTGGTGTATTTCCCCCAGTGATTCTGGGGTACTACTTTATTAAATTTAGTTATTATAGTCTTTACTCAGTAAATTGAATATATGTATAACATTTCTTATTTACTGATTTCATATTTTTAATAGAAAAAACTTAGAAGACTGTTAAAATACATGTTTTTCCGAGACTACAAATCAAAGATTGTCAAAGGCATAGACGAGGATGATCTTCTTGAAGGTAATCTAAACTAAATACTAAACTAGAACAGTGACACAGGTATATTGGACCTCACATTTATGTAATGTCAATGAAGGTATTCTAGTCAGAGTAGAATATATGTACTTCTGTTAAATAATGTAGTTTAAAAATTAACCAAAATTTTATTTAGTTGACAGCTAATTCTTATCATTTTCTACTTATTTGATTTAATAGTAATCTGGTATTTAAATTCCTTCTTTTAACAATAGGACCTGCTTTACATCAGAATATCATGAAACTAAGAAAATTTGGTTAATTTAAAACATTGTTTTAGCAAGCATAATTTTTCTCTTGTAGATATAGAGAACCAGACCTATTATGCCTTGGAAATTGATACATATGGGTTTTTCTTAATTTATTATAGAAAGTATATATGTTTTATGGTGTCACATCATCTTGTTTTGTGTGTATTTCTATGCTGATTGAAATCAGTTTAAAAAAAAACAACTAATGCAGAGTGGAAAATTTTCCTTATCTGATTTTTCAACTCAATTCCCCATTCTGGAATATTTAGAAAAAAATATTAATGTTGAATAATCTAACAATGCTAAGCCAAAATAGATAATTACTAAACAATGCTATTGAATTAAAATAAATACAGTTAACCCTTGAACAACATGGATTTGAATTGTGGGTCCATTTATATGTAGTTTTTTTTCAATAAATAATATAAATGTATTTTCTCATGATTTTCTTAACATTTTCTTTATCTACAATAGTTTATTTTATTGTAAAAATCGAGTATATCTTATCTAATAAAAGTAATATGCAAATTAACCATACCTCTGCTATACCCACAAGCCATGCCCACCAGCCATGCCCACCAACCAAGATGGCTGCGGCCACAGAGAGTAGGAGGGAGGATTGGGTTTCTCTGGCAATGGAAGAAGCCAAGCTTTCAGCCTGCCCTTGCTATCCTAAGCCTCCACTCAAGGCTATAAAGTTTCAATTATAGAAAGTAAACAAATTTCAGATACAAGGGCCTCCGCTTGTGTCGTTTGGGGCGTGGCTGGCCTGAAAACCACCATAAGCCCCTCGCCCAGGCTGCCTCACATCCCAAGGGAACCTCCATCCTGATCTGGGACACTTTTTAGGGTAAACCAGCTGGCCTCCACCCATGCACCAGACCTCTATCCTATCTACCATGTTTCCCTGAAAATAAAAGACATCCTCCGAAAATAAGACCTACTTACAAGTTTCCTTGTGAGTGAAATATAAGGAATCCCCTGAAAATAAGGTCCCCCTAGACTAAACATGAGAGATTTGGTCCACTGATTCTGAAAGAAATGGAGTCACAAGAAATTCACCAGGAAATTTAGGAATTGGATTGTTATGATGATGTTCCAGAAGATGATGACATGATTGTCATTGAACAAATGAGTAAATTCTTGATACTGTAGGATTCACAATTTGTCTGGTTTGTGTTGACAACTACCGTACTCCGTACCATATACGGGTAATAAATTTCCTTTATTTTCATTTAATAATAAATGTGTATCGTATTCTTCTTCATGGAAAAATAAGACATCCCCTGAAAATAAGACCTAGCACATCTTTGGGAGCAAAAATTAATATAAGACACTGTCTTATTTTTGGGGAAACAGGGTAATAAAAGAGTAATATGCAGAGTGATCATCACTTCAACATACAAGATAGCTGCCGCCATGTGATTAAGGATCCTGAACCTATGTGGACACAAGATGGCCACCACAAGATGGCCATCAGGGGAGGGCAGTTATGGATGATCAGGCAAGCAAGGGAAGACAGTTGGGAGGCACCAGGCCTGCAAGGGAGGGCAGTTGGGGGTGATCAACCCTGCAGGGGAGGGCAGTTAGGGGTGACCAGGCCAGCAGAGGAGGGAAGTTGGGGGCAAACAGATAGACATCAGTCAGGCTGGCATGGGAGTGGTTAGGGGTGATTAGGGGCAATCAGGAAGGAAGGCAGGTGAGCAGTTGGGAGCCAGCAGTCCTAGATGTGAGAGGGATGTCCTAGATTGGAGAGGGTGCAGGCTGGACTGAGGGACACCACCACCCCACCCCACCCCCATGCACGAATTTTATGCATCGGGCCTCTCTCTATATATATAACAAAAAATGTGTTAATTGACAATATATGTTATCAGTATAGCTTCCAGTAAACAGTAGGCTATAATAGTTAAGTGCTAAGAGAGTCAAAAGTTACAGGTGAATTTTTGACTAAACTGTGTTTGGTATGCCTAAACCTCACATTGTTCAAGGTTCAACTTATATTTTAAAAATAACACGTATTTTGGATTTAACACAGTGACTGCATAGTGGTATTTATTGCTGACATATATTGATAAAATATCTAAACAAACTCTACTGGATTAAGAATTCCAGAAAACTATTCAAAACCAACTGAAAAGTTAACAGACTTAGAAAGAAACTACTTTCATTTACCCTCAACAAATCAGCAATTGTAATAGCCATGAAAAAAAAAAAATTCTCATCAAATGTTTAGTCAGTGTTTTATATTTAATATTCCTGAATTTCTCATAAAATTTAATTCCTGGAAAGAAGTTCTCCAGATTAATTTAAATGTTCCCTTTTATGAATAGTATAAAGAATACAGATTTGAAATAGATTTGAACTTCAATTAATCTGCTTTCTCTCTGTAAGACACTGAGGGTGGTTTTCTTATTTGTAAGTCAGAAATTATACCAATTACTATGTGTAATTATTATGAAATTTCAACCTAATGCATGAAAAGCTCTTGATACATTCCTGCCACTGAATAAATGATAGCTGTCAATACCATGCTTTGAACATTACAGTGCTCAGAATGGCAAGAATAGTATCAGTTGCACTAGCATCATCATATCAGTTCTCTGTCCTCTCTTATTCATTTCAAATATCTCTTCTTTATACTCATTTAAATTTTCTAATTTTGTGTGTCTTATATAAAAGTTTTTAAAAGTTGATACAACATATACAATAAACTATTTACTCAAGTAAAATGCATCTACTGAGGTGGGATTTGTGTAATGACCACGTGAAGAGTGTGGTTCTCTTCCCCAGTGAAAGACGTTTACCTAGTGAAAATTTTTTAAATTATAGTTTAGGTTTGTTTTTTGTTTTTTGTTTTTTTTTTTGTTTTAGTAATTTTCCTAAGAGCATACAGCAAATGAAGAAGCAAACACATGTTCAAGAAAATCTTCTAAATCTCATTAAGACCAGTGTGTCTGTTGCTTTTGAGCCATGACCTACTTCCAACATTCCTCTCCTCCCAGCCTACCCTGCCAGCCCATCTCAGTATGATAGAAGCGTTACTCTGGGCAAGTGTGGCCAAGAACACCGGACACCTGGTTTTCCAGCTCCCAGTCTAGGGTAACAGTTTCACCCCGGAAGGGCAGGAGGGCACCATCTCTCATCTCTGGTTCCACGTTGCAGAAGCTCTGTTCTAGGCAGGCATAACTACATGAACTGGAGCTTCCTCTCATCCTCTGTTCATAGAGAAGTTCCACCGCAGACATAGCAGGCTGAGAATACTGTGCCCTGGTTGCCCACCTTAGCTTTCTCATAGGGAGTAAAGATCCATTATGAAGGGACAAGCCTAAAAGAAGAATTCCCATCTTTGACCAACTCCCAATTCTTGAATCCAGGATAGTTTCTCCAGGAGACAATGATTGCTGTTTCCACCCCCAGCTCCAGTATAGTGGTCCAAGATTCTACCCAGAACAATAACAGGACAGCTCTGCAGCCCTCCCTAAGGGACCGACTAGAACAGAGCAGGTAAAAAACAGTGGAGATCCTTGTGGTGAGCAATTAAGAGGAAGCTGGTAACTTCTTGATACTTGTTACAACAAGCATAAACAGTGCATAAGCTAAAAGTTTAACAGAGGAAACAAAGGGAAGAGACATATATGAAGTGTTCTCCTGGGATCAGAGCAAAACTTAAAAGCTGACAGAACCTTAACTCTGCATAGAGGCCCAGCATTATGTAGATCATTCTGTGGAGCAATCCATGCTCAAGAGTATTAACAAAAGCAATAGAACAATCAGCCAGGAATTGGTGGAAGTAACAGATGTCTGTGATGTCAATAAATAGAGTCAAACCAGTCAGTAATTTAGTGGAGAGATCAGGAGAAGTGAAAGCCAGGGAGAAACTGACTAAAACCAGTCATCCCTGGCAAATGAGAAGACTGTATGCTCAAGTCTGTGCCTCTGAGGAGCAACTTCTGAGGCTGCACACTAAGAAGGAAGATACTGTATTGAACTAGTTCAGCTGTCAGTGATAAAATAAACAAGCAAATGATGACAATAAGCCCCATTTAGAGAAGGAAATTATTATCTAAGTTGCTGCTATATACTAACTGAATGTAGTATACTACTCCATTTTCAACAGCTGTAATAACAAAATACTAGATATGCAAAGAAATAGGTATGTGTGATCTCTGAAAGGGGTGGGAGAGCAGACAACACAAAAGGCCCAGATGTTGGACTTGGAGACAAAAACTTCAAAATACCTGTTATAAATATGTTCAAAGAACAAAAGGAGACCATGTTTAAAAAACAGAAGAAAGTATGATTGCAGTGGTTTATAAAATAGAGAATATCAATTAAAAGTTAGAAATTATAAAAAGATGCTAATGGAAATTTTGGAGTTGAAAATTATAAAACCAAACTGAAAAATTCAGTAGGGAGGCTCATGGTAACTTTAAATGAAAAATATTTGAAGAAAAATAATCGGTGAACTAGAACAGATTATGCAGTCTGAAGTACCAAGAGAAAAAAGAATGAAAGAAAATCAAAAGAGCTTCAGAAAAATATGAGACACCATTAAGTGAGCCAACATGTACATAATAAGACTACCAGAAAGTAAGGAGAAAAAAAAAAAAAAGAGAGAAAAAAAAAAGCAGGAAAAAAATATTCCAAGAAATAATGATGAAAAAGCTTCCAACTTTGATGAAAACTATTAATCTATACATCCAAATAGCTCAACAGTGTCCAGGTAGGATAGACACTGTGTAGCAATTCACACTTAGACACCATTCTAGTAGAAGTATTGAAGGACAAAGGCAAGGAGAAAATCATGAAAGCTGCAAGAAAAAAGCATCTCATCATATACAATAGAGCCCTAACAATATTATTAATATGATTAACAGTTGGCTTCTTATTAACAATACTAGAGGCCCAGTGCACTACTTCCTGCACAGGTGGGGTCCCACTGGCCCGGCCCCAATTGGCAGATCTGGGTCAGGCTTGGGAGGGGGGGGGGCAGTGAAGAAGAGAGCAGTAGGTTAGCCAGAAGGCCTGCCCTGATCAGGGCCCAAGCAGGGCTGGGCCGGCTGGGAGGAGGAGCCCCTTGGGGACAGGGCAAGCTGTGGGGAGGGGCTGTGGGCAGTGGGGCAGCCAGCCCTGCCCCCAAATGATAATTTAAATATACATACCCATACACAAGGAAGTAAAGTTAACTATGTAGGTTAATATTAGATGATATAATTTCATATTTATTTTTCTTAACTGATTTAAAAATAAGTGTATAAAGCAATATCAATATTTATAATGTTGGGTCTGTAACGTAGATATGTAATGTATTTGATATTAACAACATAAATGAAATGGATGGTAACAGAGTTATATTGGAGTCAGGAGTGACACAAGGTTGTTGTTCAAATTGCAAAGAGAAATGAAAAGAAATAGACTTGATAAATAAATATATAAATATTCACTTTCTTTTCTATAAAGACTGAAACTGCATCCAGAAGAAATATAAAATCTGAGTAGACCTATGATAAATAGTTTGAATTAGTCATTTAAAAACTTCCTCCAAAGAAAAACCCATGCCCAGATGATTTCACCGATGAATTCCAACAAATGTTTAAAGAACAATAATACCAATACTTACTCACTCTACAAGGTCAGTATTACCTTATATGAAATCCATGCAAAGATATCACAAGGGGAAAAAAACTACAGACTAATGTCTTTTTTAATATAGATGCAAGAATTCTCAACAGAATACTGGTAAATCAAATCCAGCAACATCTAAAAAGTGTTATACATCATTACCAAGTGGGATTTATCCTAGAAATGGAAGATTGGTTTAAACTTAAAAAGCAATTTGTGTAATTCATCATATTAATAACATAACAGGTGTACCGGTTAATGTGGATTTTTTTCAATAGATGGAGTTACACATATGCTTTTATATATATATATATGTGTATATATATATATATATATATATATATATATATAATTTGATATGTTTGCTATTTTGTTGTATTGACAACAAGCTTCAAAACTTCATATCAAATTTTCTGAAGGTGTTAATATTATAGATAATTTTACGCTTAAAAATGTCAAATATTGTGCCAAAAAAAAGAACATTTGCGGGAAGTTTTAATTCATTACTTTATTTTGAAGAAAAGTGTTGCTGAATACTTTGGGAAGCTTATGATGAACATGCTTCATCTCAAGATACTTGTTAACACTGCTTTAAAATTGTAGTTTCTATGTGAAAGACAAAGAACGTCTAAGTCAATCGAAAAAGTTTGAAGACCAACAATTACAAGCATTATTATATGAAGATCATGTCAAACTCAAAAACAACTTCCAAAAAGATTAAAGGTTGCTCATCAAACAATTTCCAATAATTTACAAGCAATGAGAAAGATTTTAAAGGAAGGAAAATGGGTGCCATATCAACTGAACGGAAGACAAATGGAAAACCGAAAGTTATCAGTAAAATGTTGCTTCAACGGCATGAAAGAAAGTCTTTTTTGCATTGAATTGTGACTGGTGAGGAAAAGTGGATTTATTTTGTGAATCCCAAATGCACAAAATCATGGTTGATCCAAGTCAACCATCAACATCAACTGCAAGACCAAATTGCTTTGGAAAGGAGACAATGCTCTGCATTTGGTGGGATCAGAAAGGTGTGATGTATTATGAGCTTCTAAAACCAGGTGAAACTGTTAATACTGATTGCTACCGAAAACATATAATCAATTTGAACCATGCTTTGATCATGAAACAACCAGAATGTTCCCGAAAAAATGGCAAAGTAATTTTGATTCATGATAAGGCACCATCACACACTTCAAAACTAGTTAAAGACACACTAAAAGATCTTGCCTGGGAAGTATTAACCAACCCACTATATTCACCAGACTTTGCTCCTTCAGATTACCACTTGTTCTGACTGATGGCACACACACTTTCTGAGCAGCACTTCACACATATGAAGAAGTGGAAAATTGGGTCTCTGAATGGTTTGCCTCAAAACAAGTGTTACCCCTGATATTTCCAGTACCCAATTGGCTTTATACATAGTTATTAAAATATTACTGACTATATTTCCTACGCTATACTTTATATCCCCATGACTGTTTTGTAACTACTGATCTGCACTTCTCAATCCCTTCACCTTTTTCAAAGCTTTCTTGTGTATATTCTTAGGCAGACATTAATTCCATTCATGAAGGCTCCTCCCTCATGATTTAATTACTGTCCAAAGTATTTACCTCAAAATACCATCACAATTGTGTTTAGGTTTCAACATATGAATTTTAGGGGGGGACACTCAGTTCACAGCAATGACCTCTGTCAGAGTGAGAAAGTTTCCTTCTCTTCCTAGATTGTTGAGTGTTCCTCTCATGAGAGACTTTTGGATTTGGGTAATCCGCCATGGGAGGACATGAGAAAAGACTGCCATCTGCATACCAGGTAGCAGCCCTTCCTCAGACACCAGGTCAACCACCCCTGATCTTGGCCTTTCTGGCCTTCAGAACTAAGAGAATAAATATTTGTTTTTAGCTATATTTACTCTAGCAGCCAAAGTGGCCAATATAGCATCTATGAAAAACTCACAGCTCACACATAATTAACGGTGAAAAAAAAATGGATGTGTTCATCTCAAGATGTTGGGTTATCTTTATTTGATATAAAGATATTTTATCACATTAAAAAACAATCTAGTTCATTCTCACTAATTTACTCACTTATTTGGACTGATACATTAATGCATTAAACTTATTAATTACCTATTACAATATTGTAATAACTTTCTCAGACTTACGTTTTGCTATTAAATAAGTATGATAGCTTTATCTCTTAAAACAAAAATAATTAAATCTCATTCCTTTTGGTTTCAAACATTTGCCATAGCAATGTGTATAATAATCTCTTCTTTTAATTTAATGTCTCAATTCAGATGGGGTTTTTTAATGCCTTTATTTTTGTTTTTAATTAGGCCTGCTATAACAGGATTCTTTTTCCAAATCTGAGAGTCTTTCCGCCTTTTTTGAGGGGGGCAGGGCATGCAATTTTAATCAATCCATTAACACTTAGTGTGGCAATTGATAATATGATTTTATTTTTTCAATCTTTTGAGATGAATAAATGATTTAATTCTATAACACACTTTTATTTTTGATGCAAAGATCCTTTTAAAAAATATTTTGAGAAAATTCTAATTCTGAATTTCATATTCATTACTCAATATATGTAATGATTGGTACTGATGTAATCTTATTAAACATGTTTTCCCTTTCTTTATCTCCATAAAGACAAATTGAGTGGCAGTAATAATGCAAACAAAAGACAGAAAATCGCGCAAGACTTTCTCAACTCTATTGACCAAACTGGAGAACTCTTGGCAATGTTTGAAGATGATGAAATTGATGAAGTTAAACAAGAAAGAATGGAGGTATAGTTGGTTCTTTCCTTTTTACATTAAAGAGTAACATTGCAGTTCGCAGTGCCTATGCTATTTGGTTCTGTTATTAGGTTCCTTACGTGTCGTCTGAAATGCCGCAATCAGTGTTTTCATGTCTGAAGACAGCATTGTGCAGCGGAGTAGCCTGGAGAGGATGTCAGACTCTGCCTTCAGAGTTGATGTGTAGAGAGGACTTCAGTTTCCCATTTCTTGGTTTCCTTTTTGCGTATAGATAGATATCCCTCAGCTTCCTTCTTTTTTTTCAGGATCTTAGTTTTACCGATAGTATTTTATTCCTTAAAAGCTAACTTGTGGTTAGATATTTATTTATTTTTGTTCCAAATATCCAGTTAACTTTGTGAACAAAGGTAATCCTTAACTGCATTTGTGTTGAAATATAGCGTGAAGAACTTTTTCAGGATGTAGTTCCAGGCTACTGTTGGACTCACCACCTAAGGTAGTATCCAGGGCAATTACATGCTTTATATCACTGTAACACAAAGTTAGTGACATGTGTTTGGATTCCCTGGATATGTTTAACAATGAACAATGAAAATTGTATGCCTTCTATTTACCTCAGCTTATCTATTCATAAAATTGTTTCTTTAAGTACTTTGGTGGGAGAAAAAGTAATGATTGATTTCATTTGAATGCCAAACAAAGTACAAGGCATTATTCTTATGATAGTTGTTGTTATTATTTATTTCTCATGTTTTAAAAAAAATCTCCATTTTCCCTTTTCTCCTTAAATTAGGCAAGAGAGGTAATTTCAGAACTCCAAAAGATCACACTGAGTACCCACTTTATCATAGTCTCTATGCATGCTAAGAATATAATTATTTCATGTTAAATTTTGGAGGAAGTCCAATAGACATACATGGTTTATAAACTTTAACAGCCTTCTTTAAAGAATTAGTATGCTTAGATCAGGAACTGTGATCTAAAAGCAGTGTTCTTTTTAGGTATCAATTACCTTAGAAATGTGTGGTTATCTTGGTTTGGGGCAACTGCAAATGGTTTTAGTTCAATTCTGCCTTGGGCCAAAAACATGCTCAGTTGTCCCATGCAGATGATAAACATATATTTCTGATGTCATTATGGCCTAAACAGGATATGATTGTTTAGTGGCATGGTTTCACTTATGACAGAGAGCAAATATTGTTTATGCTTTATTTTAAAAACATTTTTACATTATACAAATGGGCATGAAGGAAGATTCATTAAGGAAGAACTCTACATAAAACATGAGTAAAATTGAACAAGTAGCTTTTCTCTCTTGATGGGAAAAATCTCTGTGAACTAAGCCCATTGCTTAGAAGGACATTCCCCAATCAAGGAGAAACACTGAGCCATCATAGCAGGCTACTGTAGGCCTGGAAAGATGATGAGGCATTAAGGTACAAGTTAGAGTCAATAACATTTCTGTCAATGCTGGGTGAAATAAGCTTGAGGATTTTTGCAGTTTATATACCTGTAGTTGCATTATACATTATACAATTAACCAGGATAATAAAATATCAATAGCTGATAAAAATATTTGCAATGAAAGTCAGCTTTATCTATATAATAAAAATTAGATTGGTAGTTTCTCTAAGCTTTATATCCTAACTAAAATATTCTCTAACCAAGATTTTTTAAAAAGAGTAGTTTTGAGATTCTGCTCCTCCAAATAACACAGTCGTACTGAATAAAAGTGCTGAACTTGTAGACACGACTGTAGACAGTAGAAAGTGGAACCGTTAAGAGCACAGGCCTCGCCTGCTTCTAATTTGACAGGTTATAGTTTCAAGCGTAAACCACAACTGTGGCAGTCCATATGAAACCACTTTGGACTCACAGACTGCAATCTCTTGCTTTTAAAGTGCAGTAGAATAATCAGTCCTGGCATCACTCAGTGATTTAATTTTCCTCTAAGCATCACTTACGGTTGTAGAAACTTTGTTTACTACCCTCTCTTCTAGGATGTATGAAAATGGTAGAGACCTACCAGCAAAGCTTATTATTGTTTTTCTTTCTTTCTTCTTTTTATTTTCACTTAAGTGTAATTTAGGAGAGAAAAATTTTATAGACATACATAAAAACTCACTTGGGACCCTATCTTTTTCTTAAAAAAGGAAAAAACTTTTCTTAAAAAAGGAAAAAACTGGGTTGGTTTGTGTTTTGTTTATTTTTTTGAGCAAGGATATATATATAAAATAAAATAAAAAACAAAAAAACAGTTTTTTCCTTTTTTCCCCCCCAGATGATTTCTGTGTGTATCTGGCTCTGTATTCCACTCTGAATTTATGTCAATATTAAGTATTATGTGATTTTAAATATAAAAATGTCTAAATTTTTATATCAATTTCTACTTGCTATTATAGTTCATTATCATGATAGTTAACTCTTACACTATTTCTTTCTCTCTAGCACCAAATTTTTAATACTTGGTTGTAAGTAAAGAGCAATGATCCGTGATCTAAAGAGCTGTGATCCGTGATCTCAGAAGATCCTTCTAAATTATCAAATAAAGATTAAATAACATTCGTAATTCCTTGTATTTGAGAGACTGGGAAAGAGAAGCAGGGAAATGGTGGGCATAATAATACATATAAATACACTCCCCTCCAACCACCAGTCATCCTCACTTCACCCCACCTCAGAATGACACAAATGTGTTTACTGTTTCTTACATTCTAAATTTTGAGATCTGATCCACTGAACGTCAGCAGTGTCAACCAAATGCCAAAGATTCGCTAAAAGCTGCATTTGGAGTTTCTTAATGAAGGAACCGTGGTCACTCACAGAAAAGCTTTGCCTCAGACCCAGCTGCTCTTCTGCTAAAGAACCTTAGGAGCTCAAGTTTATTAATCACCAAGTTAAATATCTGGTCCAACAAGCCATTAGGTTGGTGAAGGGAACATAAAAATAAATGCTTAAAATTTTGGGTGAACTCTTACCTCTGACTAACCTGGATAAAAGTAAACAAGAGAGCCAAGATTGGAGCTCACCAGAGAGAGCAGCCATTACACAGATTGTGGTGATAGAATTCCCAGTGACTGTTCATCTTGTGTTTCCAAGTCAGAGGCCTAGCACTAGAGTCTAGAGGAAAAAACAGAATAGAATACATAAAATGTAAGGCAACTTAAATTTTTTTTTAAATGGAATAAAATCCCAGGTGGCCATCTGAATTTAATCTGAAGTGGCTGGCCATAGATTTAAAAACAAAGAGTTTCTCATAAAGGTTGAATAATCAGATAAATTAGGTATATCATTCAGTTATGCCCCAACTATAATGAGATTATGATGATCCACATTGTTTTTGAGTCCCATTATTATAGTTTTTAGACCTAAAGAGATTAGAAAACTAATTGAAGAAGCCAGAGAGGTGAATGGCTGCCACTGCGAGTTAGACATGCTTGCATAGAAGTTCTACATTCCGTTTTTGAAGTGTGTTTTATCTTCTATTAATTTTTTCTACTTAGAATGAGGTCTTTTAAAATTATAAAGTAAGGAAAAATAATATTCCCTTAAGAGTAAAAATGCAAGATAAGATGTATCATAAAAAAGCCTAATCCCAGTAATATAAATCTTCACAGATACCAAGAAATTGAAAAGCTTCTGTTAAAAACTTAAAGGTTCTTAAAAAGTTTAATATTTAAATGTATATAGGATTAAAATATACAGAATTTATATACTAGAAAAACTATAGTTCAAGATATTCTCTATAATAAAGAGGTTATATGCAAATTGACCATCACTCCAACTCACGAGATGGCTGCCCCCATGTGGACACAAGATGGCCACCACAAGATGGCCAGCAAGGAAGGCCAGTCGGGGGTGATCAGGCCTGCAGAGGAGAGCAGTTAGTGGCAATCGGGCTGGCAGGGGAGCAGTTAGGCATTGATCAGGCTGGCATGGGAGTGGTTAGGGTATGATCAGGCTTGCAGGCAGAAGTGGTTAGGGGCAATCAGGCAGGCAGGCAGGCAAGCGGTTGGGAGCCAGCAGGATTGTGAGAGGGATGTCCAACTGCCCAGTGGGATCCAGCCTAAATGGACAGTCGCACATTCCTTGAGGGGTACCAGATTGGAGAAGGTGCAGGCTGGGCTGAACCCCCTTCGGCGTGCATGAATTTTATGCACCAGGCCTCTGGATTACATTATATACACAAATATGCATATACATTTACAAAAATATACTTTGTCTATATATGTGTGTGTTCTATATTTATAAGGCCAGAAATATGATTTTACTGTATTTATTGCTTTTTTACTTTTTTAATGTAAAAATAAAAGAGCAATCAGAGGATATCAAACTCAAATACTAGTGGTAGTAATTTAGTTTACAGAAAAAAGAATTAAAAGGGAAAAGCTTTAATTTAAAGTGGAACAAAATTGATAATTTATGTTACTAAGAGATGCTGCCTATAAGGAAGATAGTAAATAAAAAATGATCAAGATAGTTAATCATCAAATTCCAAGAATTTTAACTTTCTAATCAAAAGAAAGCTTCGATTGGTGCAAGAGAGGTCAGAGAAATGTGTTTGTTTTTACAGACTGGAACACAACATTCTCAGTATTCAACAGATTGACTTGAGGGGAAATATAATAAAGATTTAAGTTTTTCTAATAGATGCATATAAAACATTTTAGAAATGAGCAGCAGTTGTTTTTTCTTTTATTTATTTTTTTATTTTTTTTGTGTGTTAATCCTCTCCCAAATATATTTTTCCCATTGATTTTGAGAGAGAGAGAGAGAGAGAGAGAGAGAGAGAGAGAGAGAGAGAGAGAGACAGAGAAACATCGATGTGAAAGGTCAGTTGCTTCACACACACACTCCTGTGGATGGAACCTGCAACAGAGGTACATACCCTTGAATAGGAATTGAACCCGAGACCCATCAATGCTCAGGCCACTGCTCCAACCACTTTGCCATTTTGGCCAGGGCAGCAGCAGTTTTAAAATCTTATCCAGGTAACTCCAAGATTTCATGGTGTTCTTCAGGGAGGATGA